CGCTAGAAGATATGTAGCAGATAACTGCCATTCTGCCTTGCAGGTATACAAGTGAGTGCTGTTCTATTAATACTGAAATGAAGATCTAGAAAAATGCACCAGTTTTATTTTGTTGAGTGTTTTTTAAACCTCACCTCTCATGGCAACCGTAGTTGCTCGGATGTGATTTTCTGTGGCTCCAAACACCTTTGTAATGCCCCTCTCCCATAACTGTAGAACTCTGTGGGGTCATCCCATGAAACTGATGGGGTGGAGATTCAGAACAGAACAAAGCATCATACAGCCTAGGAAACTGAATCTGGTCCCTTGGGGCTGTAGACCCATCAAGTCCAACCCCATGCTCGTGCGCGTTCAGGCTGAAGCATCCTGCGCAGATGGCTTTCCAGCTGCCCCTTGAATGCCCATGTGAAGAGAAGCTAGATCGTTGTTTCCATTGGCAGACTGCTCTAACAGCCAGGAAGTTTTTCCTCCTGTCCAGCCGGAACCTGGCTTCCTGTAACTTGAGTCATTATTCCGTGCCCTGCACTCTGGAATGAGCGAGAAGAGATCCTGGCCCTCTTCTTTGTGACAGCCTTTCAAGAACTTGTAAAGCGCTATCCTCTCTCCCCTTAGTCTTCTATTCTCAAGGTTAAACATGCCCAGTTCTTTCATTCACAGGGCTTTGTTTTCAGCTCATCCTTGCTGCCCTCCTCTGAACGTTTTTTCCCCAAAGGAAACAAGATCAAAGGAAGCCCTTCTTTACACAGTGCCTAGTGAATCTATGAAAATCAATTTGTTATACCCATCAGTGTGGACGGCATTAAAAGGAACGGAAGAAATTCATGGAGAAGGAGGCTATCAAAGATTGCTAGTCCAGATGACTTTATGCAGAGGCAGTTTAAGTATGTACCCTGGGCTGACAGAAAGACAAACAAGGGGGTCCTAGATCAAATCAAGCCAGAGCTATCCATAGAAGCAAAAAATGGCAAGATCGAGGCTGTCATGAGAAGACAAGGCTCCCTGGAGAAGACCATTGTTCCAGGGAAAGTCAAAGCCAGAAAAAGAAAAGGGAGGCCAAACACGAGACGTGTTGACTTCATCAAGGAAGCCTCAGCTTTGAATTTACACGAGCTGGCAGGGCGGTCATGAATAAGATACCTCGTAGAGCTTTTATACACAGGGTCACCATAAGACGGAGATGACTTAATGGCACATAACAACAAGGTCCTTGTGTACCCCAGTTACTGGGGAACATGGACTGGAGGGGAGTGTTGCATTAATGTCTTCCTTGCGGTTTTCCCATGGGCAGATGGTTGTTCCCCATGTGAACAGAATGCTGGACTAGACAGACATTCTGACATTCTGGGTCTGACCTAGGAGACCTCTTCTTATGTCCTTTAAAGCCTTCCTCATCACCTGCAACTGAGACCCTTTTAACTGACCTCACAATGCACCTCTTGTGATCCAAGTATCTGGCTTTGGAGAAGCTGCTCTGAGCTGTACAAAATTAAGTGAAGAAAGCAGAGAAATTGTCCTCCCTCTTTAAAACAGTAGAACCTAACAAGGTCTTCAAGAAGCTGATCCAGGTCAGAGCAAAGGAAGGACTTCTTCACACAGTGCCTAGTTGAACTATGGAATTCACTTTCATGAGATGAATTAATGGCCACCAGTTTAGGCATCTTTAGAAACATAGAAACAGAGCGAGTCAGAAGGGGCCTCCCAGGCATCCAGTCTGACCCTGGCTCTAGCTGGTTCCGCTCATGACATGCCCACCATGTGCATGTCCAGCCTTTCCTTGAACACCCTCACCGATAGGGCTTCAGCCACCTCCCGTGGAAGCCCATTGGGGTCCTCTTGGGGTCCTAGCTGTCAAGAGGTACTTCCTGGCATCCAAATTGAACCTTGGTTCCCTGAACATGGCTCCGTTGGAGCGGGAATGGAAGAAATTCATGGAAATTCAGTGGTTACTAGTCCTGATGGCTCCATGTTACATGTGGTATCCGGGGCAGTTGCTGCTGTTGCTGCTCTGTTGCTGGGGAATTTGAGCAGGTCCTTGGGCACATGGACTGCAGGGTCCCGTGAGCAGCTGGTCGGCCACTGTGCAAAGAGAATACTGGACAGGAGGGACCCTTGATCTGATCCAGCAAAATCCTTCTGGCCTTCTGGTGTTCCTGTGCTTTTGCCACGCCTGCTCCACCTCCAGCCCATTTCCTGGGAAGTGCACTTCACGACAGGACCTCGTCAGAGTGACATGTATGCAGAAATCACGGACCGCCGGGGAAAAAACCTGGAGGACTTTAGGGGAGAACCTTTCCAGGGCCTCCAAACTCCCCTTTATCTCAGTAAAACGTTCACCCATGAAAATTGAAGCTGAGCTTTAAACTGCATGTATGAACACGCACCTTTGCCAGCGCACTGCACCTCCCCCACTGTCTAAATTTATATTGCAAGTTCCTTCGAACACAGGCATACAATTCTTCCTGCAAAGATCCACGTACAGGCATGGCATTAGGTCAGAGCCGGGCCTTTGTAGTTGCAGCGACAGGGGCAAGAGATGCTCTCTCATGAGAGGGGCCATTGAAGTTCCAGTCAGATTTCTACTTGCAGCCATGTATAAGTTTTCTATTCCACCAACCCTTTACAAAAGATCAGAAATCACCTGGTAGGGTGTTTATTTGTTGTTGCTTTACTTTTTTCTTATTCTGAGACTATTTTGAATTATTTTTATATTTATTGAATCATTTATTTAAAATAATCTAACTGTAATTTTTGGGAGAAGACTCCTTTATTAAAAGCAATCATAAAGCAAGAACAGTCAGTCAGGTATCAAAACTGCAAACATTCTTCTCCTGGACTTGTACTCCTTTATCTAAAGGTGCAAGGAGGTCTTTCATTCTGCTCTCTAAGAGAACTTGGCACTCTTTCCCCTGCTGTCACAAACTCACAAGGGCCCTATTAGCCGGCAGCTCTAACAACCTAAGAGCTGGGAGATTGCATGGCCAGTCAGACAAGCGCTGCTTTTCTTTAAACTGCTATCTCCCCAAGCATGTTAAAGGAATTCTGCAAAGGACAATTGATGTTATTAGAATGAAAAGAAGGTCCAGTCTAGAGAAGAAAAAAATAATCGCAAAACAAAAGAAACCCCCAAACAAAGCGATCCAGGAAGGAAGGAAGGCAGGCAGGCAGGCCTGCTAGAATCTTTTGCTGGGTCTTTGGGGTACATGTGTGTGCGTGCCTGTGCGTGTGTTATTTCCAGATTATTCATTTTTCCTCTTTTTTAGTACAATATAAAAATGAATGTCAAACCCATTCCTTTCTCTCAAGAACTCTCCTCACTTCACAGCTGTGATTAAGAAGGATGAACAAAGTTATGGAAGAAATAAATAAGAATAAAGATGAGGGGAGGGGAGGGGAGGGGAGGGGGAAGGTTACCTGCTCCATCAGAAACAATAAAAAGAACATGGCTGATTGTGGTGTGTGGAACAGTGTGCTGGCCCACATGGCTGCAAGCCACTTTGTAGAGCAATTCAAAGTTGCAAGGTGTGGACTAAGCTTTGCCTGGTTTCAGAAAGAAAAGAGCTCCCTTCTCATGACATAGAAGATGATGATTGTATGGAAGGGGAGCAGCAGGATCCCACTTTCTGGCCCTGGCCCAGGCCAATGTTCAGTCACAGGGATGAACAGAACCTCTGCCCAGCACGGCATGCTTGGCCGTGGGTGGCCGTGGGTGAAGCTCCAACACTGGGCCAGACAAGCTTTCCCTCCGGACCTGATCCAACATTCTCCATTCACCAAGCCAGAAGCGAAAAACCATGAGCGGAGCAACATTCTTAAGCAGCAATTATTAAACTTTTACTTCCAGGGCACCCTTTTCCACATTTGTTCTTATGTGGAGGAACTCCTGAAAATCAACATATTTATGAGGACTGCAACACATTCAAAGGCAGTCATGGTGGACCCACAACAGACCAGAATCCGCTAACACAAAAATATCAGCAATGATCTCTGACTCCCAATTTTTTAACACCAGCGTTTTTCTCACTCACTCCAAATTATGCTGCTGAATTGAAGACATCTGAGAAACTAGAAGTAGACTAGAGCGTGACTAGAAATGGATTGCTGGAAAAGACTCCTGCAAGTCCCTTAAACTGCAAGACCATCAAACCAGTCAGTCTTAGAGGAGATCAACCCTGACTGCTCTTTAGAAGGCCAGATCCTGAAGATGAAACTCAAATACTTTGGCCACAGAATGAGAAGGAAGGACTCCCTGGAGGAGAGTCTAATGCTGGGAACAATAGATGGCAAATGAAGGAGGGGATGGCAGAGGATGAGGTGGCTGGATGGAGTCACTGAGGCAGTTGGTGTGAGCTTGGGGGGACTCCGGGGGATGGTGGGGGACAGGAAGGCCTGGAGGAATGCTGTCCAGGGTTGCGATGGGTCGGACACGACTTCGCAACTAACAACAACAGAAATTGATTTTTCTGTGGAAAGGCTGCAAGCTCCCTTCACTTCCACTTCATACAACCTATTCTTGGGCTGGAAATTCTTGAATCCAAGGTGCATGTCTTTTGCACCAGAGTGGCACAATGACTTCTGGAAAAATCAGAGTTGGTTCAGCCAGCCTGAAGAGGAACCAAGGGTGCAGTGTGGCGGATAAGCTGCCTTTAAGCTGAGGCCAAGGACAAAAATATCCACCTATTTTAGCTTAAAGCACTTACGGCCATTAACCAAACCTTAGAAGAAGAATTAACCTTTTAGAATGGGGAGGAAAAAAACTCACAAAAGCTGAAAAATGCCTGAATGGTAGGGGAAAGGCAGGGCAGGTCCTGGGGAAGGGAGTATGACATTCTTTGAAGCCCCAAAGGACCGGATCCAGTTTCGTAGGACTGAGATTCTGCAATCTTCTTTAAGGGAAACTAGCTGGCTGATACACGGCATCTCCTGGTAGAACCCTAGAAAAGCTTCCAAGAAGCCTCTGGGTTTTCAGGAACACTGCTTAATAGGCTCAATTGCCTACTTACTTGTTGTAGAGAACAATGTCTGGCCGCCAAATGAGCTCAGAGGGGATTCGTATCGATGTAACGTTCTCGTATTCCTCGGGGTCCCAGCGTAGTTTATAATCATGCCATTCCTGGGGTTTAAAAAAAAAAAGCAGGCATGAATCACAGGGCTGCAAGCCGAAACTGAAACGAATCTACATCTTCAGTGATTCTAATTCAGCAACGTACAGGTGTAAATGGAAAACGAGGTGCAGATGTCTGGTTGTATTGGTACCCTGACTCACCTTGCTCTGCCCAACATTTCCTTACTCCAAATTATTCTTCCCTCTGCAGCTCCCCGCACCAAACAGGTTCTCAATCGGGAAGTTCACAAGCGTGATTTCTGCATGTGTGTTTCGCAGGGAACACCGCTGGGCCCATGGCCTCCCTGCTTGCAATGGTCCCATTTTCCCTCATGTTTCCCCCATTCTAAAAGGGGGAAACGACTCTCTGAAGACTTCAGTCCTGACAATCAGGCTTTTGGGGCACAATCCAGTTATGCCCTTGGGACTCGTAATCCCCAAAACCCAGAGACTTGCAAGCATCCATTCCGGAATGCGGAAAGCAGCACAGAGAATTTGCTCTTCACAATCTGCAATTCAGCAGGAGGCTGACTTTGGCTGTCGAGCTGTGACTTCTCAGAGGGGAAAGGGAGAGAACTACAGCACTGCCAGGATACCTTGTATCCCCCTTTCCCCAGTCCCCTCCCCTCCCCACCCCCTTAGGCCCTCTCCGAGGTCACTTTTCCAACCTCGGAGAAGCAGCTAAGGGTAGGGTTGGGCTGGGAGGGGTGGAGGAGGACTGGAGCATGGCTTCCTAGCTCTGAGGTGAGAGCTCTGTTCCAACCTGGGAATGCGAAGGATTCTTTGCCTTCCGCAACACTGACGGGCAAATAGGAGCACTCTTTGCAGCTACAATATGCTGGTACTATTTTTTGTATTTTGGCCCTGCCCCTTTCGATTCAGCCCCACTCAGCATTAGAAACTAAGTCCTGAGATCTCCTCTGAAATAAAATTTGGCCCTCAGGCGGAAAGAAATTCTGCAGAAGGCGGGAATGAAAGATTTTCTGCAATGGAGAACTCTGTGCTTCAGTGATCCAGCTCAGAATAAAAGGTGTATTTTTCATCCTCCTTTCCTCCATATCTTTGGCGCTGAACCCCCTTTTCTCCCTTTAATTTCACTTCCTGCAATGGCCACTTGAGGACAAATTTCTGGACTTGCTCCAATGGAACATTCACATGTAGAACAGCCAATATGTCACAGTGGTTACAGGGCTGCACTGGATCCTGGGAGAACTGGGTTAAAGTACCTCTTGACCATGAAGCCCATGGGGTGCCTTTGGGCCAGTCATTGCCTCTCAGCCTAGCCTACTTCACAGGATTGTTGTGAGGATAAATCGGAGTGGGGTTAATCATGTAACCTGCCTCGGGTTCCTTGCAGGAGGAATAAGGCAAGGAAAAGATACAATGAATGCGATCTTGCAAGCCCCACTGAAATGAGCGGGGCAAGCACAAGAGCATAGGAAAAGCTCCTGCTGGAAGATGCCACCTAATTTCTCAGGTTGGAAACCTGGGGACATGTATGTAGGCAATGAAGACAATGCAAAGCATCGTGGTTAACTCACTTGTTTCACCCACACGTTGGTGGTCATCATTTGGTTCTTTTCATCCTGGAAAAAGACAAAAGAGAATGAGGGGAAGCCTGTTTTAAGAAGAGCAGGCCCTGACCCTGAAAGCTCTTGAAGCGGCCGCTTTTTCTGCTGCCGTGCACTTTTTGCAAATCACCAATAATCTCAGTAATAAATGTATTTAAGCATCAGCTAAAAAAGCAGATGTTACCAAAGATTAGCATAAAACGGAGCACGCTTGCTATTCATTTCCCAACAAGTACGCCACACACGCTGACCCCACGTGGGGTTTCCTAGCAGCTTCTCTAACCTGCAGATGTGCAGAACTACTGATCCCATGGTCCCCAGCCAACTTGGTCAAAGATGCCAGTTGTAATGAAACAAGGGTGAAGGGCGCCCAGGTGGCAAAGGATGCAGTAGAGGGTTCAAATGCTCTCTTTAGCATGGGGCAAACTGGGTAGAAAACTGGTGGCGCTCCAGTCTATCACCTACAATTCCCATCATCCATTCCCATTAGCCATGCTTGCTGAGGCTGCTGGGTGTTAAGGTCCAAAGACATCTGGGGGCCTTCTCATTCCTCAATCCTGTTTCAGAGCTTGCCGTGCTGCAATTTGGGAACGGGATCAATGCCGACTTCTGATGTCATGCCCCCCTGAAGCACTCCCCCCTCTTTGGATTTATTGATCGGTTACATTATTGCAGCGTATTATTTATTTATTACATTACTAATCCACTGAGCAATGAATGTTCTTTGCGGATCACCTGCTCCATCATATTGATTAACTTCCCTCCTTCCTCATTTTCTTTTAGAAGTTTGTGTTAGAAAAGGGAATCTTTCCTCCTACTTTCTCTGGGGAAAAGACAGATGTGTATGAGGCCAAGCAAAGTATACTTGATTTGTTTTAATCCTAATCAATTCATCTTGATTAGTATTGGAATGATGCGATTGCTATTCTCTATCTAAATGGCCCATTAACTCACTATAGGGAGGCTGCGAGTCCCCCTGCGCTTCATTTCTCTCTTTCCCTGCTCCCAATTCCCTTTGATTTGTTTCAAAGAGGATAGTTTGGAAAGGGGTCAAGCCGCAGACACAGAAAAAGGACTGGATCTTTTTCAGCAACAAAACAACCAGCTGGGAAAAGAGGAGAAAGTTGTAACCAAGATGGGAGGTCAGGTTGTTTCAGTTCCATATGGATAGGTGAGCAAGGATCTTCCTTTGAACAAGATAAAAGAGGTTCAAAGGACAACCCCGGGAAGCTTGCTTTTATGGTCTAAAACACTCAAACGGCTGCCCAATGTTGGTGGCCATTCAGTGATGTGGGAAAAGCTGTGTTTTTTTCTTCAAAGTATTGTGAGCAACATGCTTATTGTCTGAAGGCAATATCACACTCCCCAACCCCTGGGAAGGATGATTTAGCATTAAAGCAAGGTACACATACCCCTGAACCCTTGTTTTAAAGCAAAAACTCGGGGCTTTTCTCCACGATGCTGAATGTGAACAAAATTTGGTAGGAATTCAGTAGTGTAGTCATAGCCATTGGAGGGCAGACTGAAAAAGGGGGGCTTCATGTGCTCAGTGGCTACCTGAACGAGCGCTTACGTCTGTATATGCCCGACCGCCCCTTGAGATCTGCGGGAGAGGCCCTTCTCCGGGAACCCTCCATGAAAGAAATTAGGAGAGTAAGTACTCGGAGGAAGGCTATCTCTGCGGTGGCACCCAACCTATGGAATTCACTCCCCAAAGAGGTCCGCCTGGCACTGTCATTACTGGTTTTTCGGCGCCAGGTAAAGACCTTTTTATTTAAACATCATTTTAATTGTTAAAATATATGATCTGGCCAGGGCAACTTCTTCTTCCTTCTCTTTTCTCCTCCTATATTCTTTATTTACTTATTTTATACTGTTAATTTTAATTTTATATTATTGTATCTCAGTGTATTTTTTGTATTTTTGTATTTAGTGGTAATTTATTATGTTCTATTGTATGTCAATGTATCTTATTGTGTTGTAAGCTGCCCCGAGGCTTCGGCAAGGGGCGGCATAGAAATGTTTAATAATAATAATAATAATATTTCACTCATCTAAGTAAAAACCCTTCAGGACTGGAAGAGTCCAGGCTAGGAACAGTAAAAGAGCAGTAGCAGAAACCAAGAGGGGAAAGGATGATAAAATGCACCAGACTTTGGGGCAAGGCAGGGTACAAATGGCAAGAAACCAAACATTTGCTGGTCACTTGGAGTAAACCACTGTTCCCTACTCCATTTGCAAAATAAATCCCTTTGTTTTGAACACTACCGATAATTCCTGCATGCAACATCTGTAGGTGAGAGCCAGTGTGATGCAGTGGATACAATCTTGGACTGGAAGCCAGGAAATGCTGGTTCCAGGCACCCTCAGAGATGCATCTCAGAGACTGAATTTGGACTCTCAGGCTAGGCCAGCTCACAGGGTGGTTGTAAAATGAAAATGGAGAGGTGATTTGGGTGCCTTGCAGGATGTGGAAAAAGGTAAGATATAAATGCAACAAATACACAAACATCTGGCTATGCAAAGAGTTCTAAGGATGCAGATCCTACGATTATTCAGAACAGAAAATAAAGCAACCCGGAGCGGTACTGCAGGTTGCCTTGAAAGGGTTCATCCAGATGGGCAGTGCTTTAAGAAGCAGGAGTTCTGCCTTGACGGGGATGTCAAAGCATGTCGTTCTCATTAGCTTGGCATGCACAGCCTGGCAAAATGTACCTTCAGGGAGAAGGTCCTTCATTCGGAATGACAGAATCGTAAAGTTCAAAGGGGTCATTTTCGTAATCAAGCCCAAGCCCTCTTCAGTGCCAGAATCCAGCGTACAGCCTCCCCGTCCACTCTGTCTGAACACCTCTGCAGCTGCAGCCACTGTTTTGAATTCCACTGCTAGCACCAGACGCTCTGTCTCTTAAACCCATTATTCTACACCCTGTAGCAGCCTTCCCCAACCGTGTGCCTTCCAGACACGTTTGGACTGCAACTCCCAGAATTCCCAGTCAGCAGCCCTGCTGGAAGGGAATTCTGGGAACGGTGGAGCAAATGCATCTGAAGGCCACCAGATTGGGGAAGGCTGCCCTATAGTATTAGGCAGAAAACAAGCTCTTTTATAAGACACCCTTGGGGGTTCTTGAAGAACAATCTCGTAGTCCACCTCAGTCTATTCTCAAGGCACTCTTCTCTTCTCTCACAACATGGCCAGTCCCTTCAATCTTTTCTCAAGGGACTTTGTTCTAATCCCCTGATCCTCTTGTTCTCTTTTAGGAGATCCTATATAATGCTTTGGTACTTCTTGGACCCCACAGCCTATGGTGACTTCAAACAAAGATGGGACCTGTGCTAAAATGTACACTAGAATTAGAAGGTGGACTGGCACATCAGTCAGCCCCACTCCCTCCCCAAAGGTTTTAGGGGGGCATCCAATGTGGCTGCCCACCACCCCCTGAACTCAGGGGCTCATGGGCATCCGACTGAGGGCGAAGGTAAGAGCGAGCCCTTTCTGCTTCTCCTACACTGCAAAAGTCAAAGACAACCAATTTCATGAGGGAGGAGAACCACCAAGATTTCTTGCACCCAACCCCAGATCTGGGAATCCTAATTACCCTACAATTCATCCAATGATGGCCATAGAATCACTCTTCCCCAAACCTTATGCTCCTCTGGCACTTTTCCCTTTAATCTGCTGTTGAAACAAAAACCAAATCTCTTCTGGAATGTGTCTCTTGGATTCTTCCCCTTAACCGCTGCTTCTGCCAACTGCTTTCCCCAGAATTCTCTATCCATGTCAAACCTTCCTGAGATTGAAGCCATGCACTGAACACCTTGCTCCAGGTGGGGGCATGCCCATCACTTCCTTCTTGCGGCGCTCTTCCTAATAAAACCTCATCGTGGCAATGACCCCTTGATTCCAGCCAGGCATAGTGAGACTCCTGCAGCAAGACTAAACCAGGATGATAAATCAGCAATGCTTGGCCACACATAACAGACGCAGCTTATATTTTGTAGCTGGGATCACCGTTTTGACTTTTCCCAGAGGGACATTACGGTGTAGAAAATGGTTCTTCTGAGTTAGCCTTACGTCCATTGTAGGGAAAACAATGGAAAGGCTCATAATAGCGAGAGATCAAGTGATGCTAGACAGGGAAGGGAGGCTGGCAGCCACACAACACGGCTTCCGCAAAAACAGGTCCTTCCAGACAAACCTTGTGGAATTCTATGACAAGGTTTCGCGATGGCTAGATGGAGGGGATGCAGTGGATGTGGTATACCTGGATTTCAGCAAAGCCTTTGACAAAGTGCCCCATGATATCCTGGTGGAGAAACTGAGGAGTTTTGGGATACACCAAAGCACTGTCCGGTGGATTAGGGCATGGTTGACTGACTGAAAGCAGAAGGTAACCATGAGCAGGAATCATCGGGATGGCGGCCAGTGACAAGCGGGGTCCCCCAGGGCTCTGTCCTGGGGTCGATCCTGTTTCATCTTTTCATTAACGACATGGAAGAAGGGGTGAGCAGTCTGCTGATCAAATTCGCAGACGACACTAAAACTGGAGCAGTGGCCACAACTGAGGAGCAGGTACTCCAGATCCAGAAGGATCTGGACAGACTGTGGAAGTGAGCAGGAGAGAACAGTATGGTGTTCAATGTGGATAAGTCCAAGGTCTTGCACTTGGGGCATAGGAATAGCTGTCATAAGTACAGGTTAGGTGACAAGTGGCTGGAGAGCAGCACTTGTGAAAGGGACCTCGGGGTGCCGGTTGACTGCAGGCTGAACATGAGCCAGCAGTGTGATGTGGTGGTCAAGAGGGCGAACGCCATCCTTGGATGCATAGCCAAAAGCATGGCTTCTAGATCAAGAGAGGTATTACTGCCACTCTATATGACACTGGTGCGCCCACAACTAGAGTATTATGTTCAGTTCTGGGCTCCACATTACAGGAAGGATAGAGTCAGGTTAGTGCAGTGTAGGGTCACAAGGTTGGTGGCCAGTTTGCAGGGGATGCCGTATGAGGAGAGACTGA